CCCTTCAACGTGTTCGATTTCTCTACGTTTAGGTGATCCAGCCTTAGCAGAGCTTTACATTATGAAATCGCGTATTTTTGCTGAATCCCTGTTCTTTTATTGCGGCAACCGCCCGCGATCCTCGGTGGAGAGATCCCTTGTGCCCTAGGGTTTGGGATTCACCGACGAGGTTTTTACTTACGGTATAATTGCGATCTGAACAGGAGGCACTTTTCTCGCGCCCTAGGGAGAGAGGGGTATCTTCCGAGTTCTCAGGAGCGTAGGGACGTTCTCCTCGAGAGGAATGTGTTCCTCAAGCCCTAAGGCAGAGGAGGATTTAGGAGGTTCTGGAGATTGAATTTTATTTATTTGGAATATGGGTTCGTCTACAAAGGAGAGGATTTGTTCCTCAGTCCCTAAGGCAGAGGAAGATTTTGGAGATTTAGTGATTTGGAACTCATCGTCCGCAAAGGGGGATGAGCAGGAGTCGAACTCCTGTAGTTCTACTATTGGTAGTGTGATTTCGCAGTCAATCTCACCTGCGTTGATCGCGCATAGGTGAGCTCTTCCGTTAGAATTTATCAGGGCGGCATCTCCTAAGTGTCCTAAGTAGATGTCGTCGTGCACTAGAAGGCGCGGAACATAACCCGTTTTTATGCCCTTATTAAGCACGCGGAGTGACAGAATGATTTTTGACCTTGCAGGTATGATGGCAGGTTCTCGATCGTCAAAGTAGATCGGATAACCCTGCCACATCACGAGATTTTCCGAGAAATCTATTCTAGATGCGTCTCGCAGAAAATCGGAACCTAAGATTCCATCCTGCGATATCGGAAAGTCATCGTTTACCACATGTATTTTGATGTAGTGTGATCTTATACATATCTAGGCTTAATGTTTATTCCCTGAATTTGTTGCTAATCTCATGGGACATTGGCGTTTCTTTCCATGGATTTTGTTAATGTGGTTGGTTAATAATATTTACGAGGGTTTATTGTATTTTCGTAACTAGTGCAAATTTTGTATTTTGATTATGTGATAATTTGTTAATTCTACATTATAATGATATAATCTTAAATTTTCGGTTTCTGAAGATTTATAACAAAACCTAAAGTATTCATTTATTTTAAGAGTTTCCTTTTATGGTATTTGTTAATATGCTTATTTAACAATATTAAGAAAAGTTTGTTGTATCTTTGTTAATAATAATAATTTTAATATTTTCACTATGTGGAATTTGTTAATTTAGCAATATAATAATATTCACAATCTTAAATTTTTCAGCTTCTGAAAATTTATAACAAAATCTAAAGTATTAACCCTTTTCAGAAATTTCTTTTACGTAATTTGTTAATATGCTTAGTTAACAATGTACATTTTCTTATATTTATTTTACCTATCTTAGTTTCGGAGATATGCTAACGTTAATTAAGATGAAAAAAATTTCTAGTAGAGGTGGCATATATGGAAGGACGTAACAACAGAATCAGTAGAATTAAGACACTTTGTTACCTTAAATTCAGTCAGGCCTATGTGCAATTAAGCGATAAAACAATGGCCCAGATAGCCAAACCTGCTCAGCAGATTCTGAGCAGAGTCTGCAGAAAACTTTTGATGCCAGAAAGGCAACAAATATCACACAGAGACTGCTTTATCAGATGAAGTTGTCACACAGCTGTCAGAAATGTGCCAGAATCTGCTGACAGGCTATGTGAGCAGATTGACGGCAGAAACCGCGCAGAGTCTGCAATTTAACCTGGCAGCAGATTGCCGGCAGATATCGAGCAAAATTTGCATACATAACCTGAGAGCAGATTGGCAGCAGTGACCGAACAAACTCTGTCCATAATCAGCTGTTTAAATGGATACTCATTGGCTTTTAAATTTAAATGCATTTTTATTTATAATGGGAAAGGAACGCAAATATAAAAAGAGATATGATTACAAAAAGAGAATATACCCAGCAAACACAGAACATTGCAGCAACATTACGGCAATGTTGTAACATTGTAGAAACATTACAGCGATATTACAACATTGCTGCAACGTTGTTGCAATATTCTGTGTTTGCTGGGTATATTTTATATATATTATACAGTAATAGAGAGAGAGAGAAAGAGAGAATGTGTGTGTTTACATATAGATTGAACACGTCAGCAGTGATCCATCTCCGTCTTTTCATCAGACGTCATTTTGAAACAAGGTGAAGACTGCCGCCTCTCTTCCCTTTTAACATGACAAAATCATTTATATAAGATATAACTTTTATCTTATTCATACAAGAATATGAGCTAGTAGCCGAGGACATAGGATAGAAGACTGAAGAGCTGATGATCCCAGGTTCGAATCCAGCAGTGGTAAAACAAATTTTTCACATATGATATTTTAATTATAAAATAACATTAAGAGATTAGAAGGTTACTAATTCTGATGTAGAGAAAATGAAAATAACAAATAAAAAATCTATTCCAAATTTTTATCGCTGTCTTATCGAGGCCCAATGTTGGCATATAAAATCCAACAATTTACCAACCATATTGGCCATTGGTGAACCAGCGTAACGCCGCCAACGTTGGCTCATTGTTATTTTGAAACGTCGGACCGATATAATAAACGTTGGGCAATCAACGTAAGGCCAATGTTTATGTGCTGCTCGGGCAGAGTTTGTTCGGTCACTGCTGCCAATCTGCTCTCAGGTTATGTATGCAAGTTTTGCTCGATATCTGCCGGCAATCTGCTGCCAGGTTAAATTGCAGACTCTGCGCGGTTTCTGCCGTCAATCTGCTCACATAGCCTGTCAGCAGGCTCTGTCGACAGAACACGAGCTTAATGCGGACACAGATGACTATGGTTTTGACGTGGGATTCTGCACAAATTTGCTGCCAATCTGCGCGCATTTTGCTGACATTTTGCTATCTGGGGGTTGAGTCGTGATATTAAAATTGTTAAGCACGAAGGTAAAGTATGTGCGTTGTCTACGAAATGCCGGGAAATGACTGTCACAACTGTAGGTATAAAATTTCTAGGTCAAAACATCGGAGAAGGAGAGAAAAATTTATAAACAAATACGTAAATAACTAAAATGTCAAGTCAACGAGTTAATAACAGAATCGTACACAGGATTAAGATTCTCGGTGTCCTTTTTTAAATTGATAGTATTAGTATCTAATTTGATGTGCAACATTTCGGCGATTTCTCTCTTTCTCGTGTGTATCTCACAATGCATGATGTCCGGTACTGACCAATCGAAATCGTGTCCACATGATATTCGGTGTTTGCTAATGACTGACAATGAGTGGTTGTTCTCATCTTTTTTAATATTATTGCAATGTTCTTTGACTAGTTTCCAGATGTCGTTTGGTCTGGCCGATATAGGTTGCATCGCAGTTATTACAGTGCAATCTATAGACTACTCTAGTTTTCTTGGAGTCATTTAATGGATCTTTACCGTTTTTTATAATTCTATTCAGCTTTTTAGGGACCGTGAATACAGTATTCAAACCGACGCTTCGTAGAGACTGTCAAATCATCTCACTAGTACCTTCAATATACGGAATGGTTATACAGGATTTGATGTCAAATTTACTGTTAAGATCAAATTTCGTGTCGTGTCGTAATTGTTTTAGTCTTTTTTTATATACTTGTCAATAAGTTGCACAGGGAAACAATTATTCTTTAAGATGGTCTTTACAATAGAAATATTTTCGTCATAAAATCCATAGTCAGAAAGTAAAATAGCATGGTCAACAAGACTGGTAATGGTATTAATTTTATATTGGTGAGGGTGACTAGAGAAGTAATTCAGATATCGTCCTGAGAAGGTAGGCTTCCTGTACCAATTAGTAATTAGTTGCTTGTTGCATCTACTAATTCTGACATCTAGAAAACTAATAGAATTATCCTGTTCTAGTTCGTGTGTGAATTTTAATTTAGAACGGTAGCTGTTGAAAGTTTTTAATATTACGTCGATTTTGTTAGACGGTACTATCGTGAAAATATCATCCACATATCTGTAGAAAACTGAATATTCGAAGTCTAAAGATCTAAAGATCAAAGATCTCAGCCCGTTCCAACGGCTTCCCCGTGTCCAGTAGAGTAACGTCCTGCGTTAATTTAGGTTTAGGCTCCGCTGTATATATCCGCGTACGTTATGCTCCGACGCGTGGAGCTCACGCCGCTCGTCCCGTTCCGATCGGGGGAACGATCGCGCTAAGACGATGTTCATTCGTGATAAGTCTCGTTTTCGGCGACCGCGCTAAGCTTTATATTCACTCATGGCAAGCCGCGCTGCCAGCGAGCACGCTCCGCGTTAAGACTTGATCGACCGACGCTAAGTTTTATTTTATACCGAGCACGCGCCGCACACCAAGAGTGTGTCCATCTCTAATAGTCTGCGCCGCGTAATCCACTTTCTTTCTATATTTCTCACAGCAGCGGACCCATTGTAACTTCCGTCGTGCCGCATTCCGGCAAAAACGCGCCCGGCGTTCTTTCCGCATTCCAAGCAAGCCACACGCGCCTACCACGATAGTCAAAGACTGTAAACACTTACAAGGGGAGCACCAGGTTGTGGCCACACCGATTTTTTCCAACTTTATATATGTTGTAGTATCAATCCCCAACTACTTCATGTGGCACATGATACAGCTACATACTCACGTATTCGCGAGAAATTTGCATTACAAATTTTTCGTGCGCGTTTATTCGAGTATGCGAGCGAGGCTAGCAAATAGCAAGCGTAGCCGAGCGGATAAGGCGACGGACGAGAACTCTGTATGTTGCAGGTTCGAATCCTACCTTTTCCCAACTTTTTTAAAAATAAATTTTTACAAAATGTGGATTAAAGTAAATGATTAGACAATGTAGAATCGTTAAATAAAAAAATTAGTGTTTTTATTATTAAATTTAATATTGTATATTAACATGAATACGTAGTTTCGTCTGCAACTATACGAATATCAAAATTCGATTGATATGGATAATTAATAAAAAAAACTCTAATCACATTTACAATATTTTTACTTTATTTTTATATTTATTCTTTACATATTTGTGGATGATAATCATCAAAGAAACATTTGAAGCATAATGTCGATTTACATCGAGCACATTGAATAAAACATATATCTTTTAACTGACAACTGCATGGTTTCTTCAAAATTGTTAACGGAAAGCAGACGTCATTGACATTTAAAAAGACGGATCTGTCGGTAGTTAATGTTCATCAATCAATGTGCTCGATGTAAATCGACATTATGCTTCAAATGTTTCTTTGATGATTATCATCCACAAATATGTAAAGAATAATTATAAAAATAAAGTAAAAATATTGTAAATGTGATTATGGAGTTTTTTTTTATTAATTATCCATATCAATCGATTTTGGTATTCGTACACGGAAAAAACAATATAGTTGTCACAAACAGAATTCTGGTTGTGCCAACCAGATTAAAATAT